TTTTTTGAGACAGAGTCTCGCTCTGTCGCCCAGGCTGGAGCGTAATGGCACAATCTCGGCTCACTGCAATCTCCACCTCCTGGGTTCAGGCAATTCTTCTGTCTCAGCCTCCAAAATAGCTGGCACTACAGACATGCGCCACCACACCCAGCTAATTTTTTGTATTTTTAGTAGAGACGAGGTTTCACCATGTTGCCCAGAGGCTGGTCCCCAACTCCTGAGCACAAGCGATCCACCCGCCTTGGCCTCCCAAATTGTTGGGACTACAGGTGTGAGTCACTGCGCCTGGCCTAAATGGGTGATTTTTATAATACATGAATGATATATTTTTTTATTTTTGAGATGGAGCCTTGCTTTGTCACCTAGGCTGGAGCACAGTGGCACGATCTTGGCTCACTGCAACCTCTGCTTCCTGGGTTCAAGCAATTCTCCTGCCTTAGCTTCCCATGTAGGTAGGACTACTGACATGCGCCCCCATGTCTGACTAATTTTTTTGAATATTTTTAGTAGAGACAGGGTTTCACCATGTTGACCAGGCAGGTCTCGAAGTCAGTTGTCTGCCGGGTGTGGTGGCTCACACCTATAATCCCAGCACTTTGGGAAGTTGAGGCAGGTGGATCACATGAGGCCAGAGTTCGATACCAGCCTTGCCAACATGGCAAAACTCCATCTTTAGTAAAAGTACAAAAATTAGGCAGGCATGGTGGTGCACACCTATAATCCCAACTACTCGGGAAGCTGAGGTGGGAGAATCGAATGAACCGTGAAGTGGAGGCTGCAAGGAGCTGAGACAGTGCCACTGCACTCCAGCCCAGGCAACAGAGCAGAACAAGACCCTGTCTCAAAAAAATAAAATAAAATAAATATATATATATCTCTCACACTGGCTTTTATGTGCAAAAGCTATTAGAGGGGACAACAGAAGCAATGGGGAGCCCATCAAAGGATGAGGTTCTTACACAGGCTAGGGAAGGCGGGGTGGCAGCAGTGTGGAGGCCTAAGTATGTTTTGGACACACAGCAGATAAGATGTCCTGATGACAGGATTCGGCATAGGAGAGTTCCCAGACCCTGGGGTCTCCAGAGTAGAGCTGATTCTCTGCTCCTGAAGTGGGAAGCTCCTTGTCACTATGCACCTCCTGAATTCTTGACTGAGTCTGAACCAAGAGGGAGGCTGGTTCCTTAGCTAAGCAGCCATTCAGTTTGCTCCTTAAGACTGGCAGACCTTGGAATGTGGCCAGGCCCACCCTTGGTTGGCTCAGAGCCCAATGAGGGAGAAAACAGAAGGCCACAGAGAACACCAGGGCGAGTGATAGAGATTCCAGGGGGTGAGCCTTGGGCTGGGTGCTCCTCCTGCTTATCTCCTGAGAAGGCCTTCCCCCAGGCCTCCTGAGATGGCAACTCTCTTTCTCTGTGTGTGTGCATTCTAGAAAACTACAACTTCCTTGCTGGGCCCCATGAGAAAGCCAAGCCAGGCCAGAAAACACAGAGTCACCAGAAGTCTTTCTCTGGTGCCTAAGAAACACGCTGAGGGCTGAAAACTGAGCCGGGTCCAAGAGAAAGGCCAACTGTCTGCTCTCCTGGCAAGCAAGTTGTACAGGAAATGGAGGGCTCACTCACCACCCCAAAACACATAGTCTAAGCAAACCCAGCTTCACCATTGCCCCCTCCAGCCTCCTTCCATCCAGATCACCACCTGTAAGCCCTTCCTCTCATAATCCCCTAGGATTGACTGGGCTGTTACTACATGCCAAAGACTTTTCTAAGTGCTTTTTTTGTATTAACTTGGTTACTCTTCAAGACAATCCTCCAGAGTAGCTTCTATTATCATCCCCCATTTAACACGGAAGAAACAGAAACACAAAAAGTAACACGCATGAAGTCTTAGTGCCATTAAGTGGCAAAGAGGGGGTTTGAACTCTAGAGCTCACACCCCTAACCACTTTACAAAGTCCACCACTACCAAGGTCCCAGGTTCAGAAGCCATCTCATCTCATTCCCTCTCAGGATTGCTCTTCCCATGAAGCATTCTGTGAATGCCATCCAGGCAACGCTTGCATGCTTATTTCCACCTGAGTGTAGGGGATGTGCCTGATACCCGTGTGAACTCTTCTCCCTAAAAAACCCCAGTGTCTGGTCCATACTGCCAAATGACTTTTTCTTCTTTTGAGACAGGGTCTCACTCTGTCACCCAGCCTGGAGCGCACTGGCGCAGTCCAACTCACTGCAGCCTCCACCTCCTGAGCTCAAGTGATCCTCCTGCCTTGGCCTCCCTAGTAGCTGGGACTACAGGTGCGCACCATGACGCCCAGCTAATTTTTGTATTTTTTATAGAGAAGAGTTTTCACCATGTTGCTCAGGCTGGTCTCAAACTCCTGGACTTGAGCAATCCACCCACTTCGGCGTCCCAAAGTGTTGGGATTACAGGCATGAGCCACTAAGCCTGGCCTGGATGAACACTTAACAGAATCAAAGGAAGCCAGTTCCCAGAGCCATGCTGGTGGCTCTACCTTTCCAGATCTTTCTAATTGTGCCAGGTCACCTACAGACCAGCTGGCCTTTTAAGAACCAGAAGCTACTCAGGATGGTATAGGGCCAGCACTGCTGTTTGCTTTGTCAAGATTATGTTGTTTCCCAAGCAAAAACTGCCTGTTTTCCAAGGAACTCCTTCAGCCTAGCTCCTCAGTCTCTGGGGCACGTGAGGTTCAGGACAGTAAGACAGGCAGTTAGAACCTGTCAGGGCAAGCTGGACAGCTGTACTCTAGGCTCTGCCTCCAGGTCTGTGTGTAACTCTGAGAACATTCCTTCCACTCTCTGGGGTTCAGTTTCTGCATCTGTAAAATGGGAGTAAGGTTCGTCTAATAGATTCGCCTGGTCCCTCCTAGAGGCCTCTGGACTGTCCGCAGAAAGTTTACCCTGTTCTTACCTGCCACCCCTTGCAGGGACTTGCGCACCGCGTCCACACAGCTCTGACAGGTCATCTGCACCGCGAACTCCAACTGCAAGGGCAGCAGGGACCGACCGATGATCGCTGGGGAAGTGCGTTGGTATGACTTTGTTTCACCACCTACCTACCCTATGACCACTCCAAGGTCTGGGAACAAGCCCCCACGTAACCCCTCTTCAAGCACCTTCTTTATGACTCTCATGACCATTCCAGGGCCATGGGAGTCACCCCCTCAACACTCACGCAGGGCCCCTGCTACCCTCGCATGCTAGTTTCATCCCGTGGCCCCAGGCCCCAACCCAAGTGCTCACTCCTTCCCCTCTTAGACCCAAGGTAACGATCACCCCAGGGGCCGAGGCTCTCTGCCCGGCGAGGCTCCACACGAAGCCTCAACCCTCACCGTGCAGAGGGTCCCCTGGTTCCCCGAGTCCGAAGCCATTCTGGACCCAGTCACCACCAGCCCGAAACGCAGAACTCTTCAGGCGCAGGAGCACCAACCAGCGCGGCGTCGCCGGGACTGACTCTCGAAAGACACCCTTAACTCCGCCTCCTAGTGCGTGCGCACGCAATGCCCTGCCCCGTCAGCCGCCGGGTGGCGGCCGCGCAGGCGCACTCGGGCCCTCGGGCTCCTGGTTGCCTTAGTAACCACTCCGCTTTCTGTTAGCCGACGGTGGCAGCCGCAGGCCGTAAGATGGAGCCTCCGAAGCACGAGCCTGAGCTCCAGCGGTTTTACCACCGGTTGCTGCGTCCGCTGTCGCTCTTCCCCACTAGGGCGACGTCCCCAGAGCCTCAGAAGCGCCCCACGCAGGAGGACCGGATTCTACAGTCCTTCCCTCTCGCGAAGCTGACGGTGGCGTCTCTGTGCAGCCAGGTGGCGAAGCTGCTTTCCAGCAGTGGGATGGCAGCGCGAGTGCCTCCTGAGGCTCGACTACGTCTCATCAAGGTCATCCTGGACGAGCTGAAGTGCAATTGGCGGGAGCCGCCCGCCGAACTTAGTCTGAGCCACAAAAACAACCACAAGCTGCGGAAGCGGCTCGAGGCCTACGTGCTGCTGAGCAGTGAGCAGCTCTTCTTGCGCTACTTGCACCTGTTGGTGACCATGTCGACCCCCAGAGGGGTCTTCACTGAATCAGCCACGCTCACCCGGTTGGCGGCCAGCCTTGCCAGGGACTGCACACTCTTCCTCACTAGTCCCGACGTCTACCGTGGCCTGCTCAGCGACTTCCAGGCCCTGCTGAGGGCAGAGCAGGCCTCTGGAGGTGTGGACAAGCTGCGCCCTGTCTGCCCCGCTGGGACATTCAAGTTGTGCCCTATCCCCTGGCCTCACAGCACTGGCTTCGCCCAAGTGCAGTGCTCTAACCTCAACCTGAACTACCTCATCCAACTCAGCCGTCCACCAGAGTTTCTCAGTGAGCCAGGAAAGATGGATCCAGTGAAGGAATTGAAGTCCATCCCTCGGTTGAAGAGGAAAAAGCCTCTCCACTGGCCACCCTCCATAGGAAAGAAGAGAGAAATCGACATCAGTTCCTCACAGATGGTGTCGCTGCGCAGCTATCCTGTGGCCCCCACCAGCAGGGCTTCCCCCTTGCCTTTCTACTCTGAGCTCCGGAGAGGCCAATCCATGCCCTCCCTGCGTGAGGGCTGGAGGCTGGCAGATGAGTTGGGCCTTCCTCCACTCCGATCTCGCCCCTTAACCCCACTGGTCTTGGCTACAGAGAGCAAACCAGAGCTGACTGGGCACATCGTGGCTGAGGATCTGAAGCAGTTGATAAAGAAGATGAAGTTGGAGGGGACTCACTACCCACCACTGGACTCAGGCCTGCCTCCTCTCCTTGGGGTTGTGACCCGTCACCCAGCTGCAGGGCATCACCTGGAGGAGCTAGAGAAGATGTTGAGGAACCTCCAGGAGGAAGAAACCTCTGGGCAGTGGGACCCCCAGCCCCCCAAATCCTTTCCACTTCACCCACAACCAGTGACCATTACTTTGAAGCTTAGAAATGAGGTCGTGGTCCAGGTGGCTGCCGTACGGGTCTCTGATAGAAACTTCTTAGACTCTTTCCACATTGAGGGGGCCGGAGCCCTGTATAACCATCTGGCTGGTGAACTGGATCCCAAAGCCATTGAAAAAATGGATATTGATAACTTTGTCGGCAGTACTACCAGGGAGGTCTACAAGGAGTTGATGAGCCATGTCTCTTCTGACCACTTACATTTCGATCAAGGGCCCCTAGTTGAGCCTGCAGCAGATAAAGACTGGTCGACCTTCCTGTCCTCAGCCTTTCTACGTCAAGAAAAACAGTCTCAAATCATCAACCCTGAGCTGGTTGGACTTTACTCCCAGAGAGCAAACACTTTACAGTCCAATACTGAGATGATGCCCTCCCTCCCATCACCCCAAGCTACCAAAAGCTGGGAGAAGTGGTCAAACAAGGCCTCCTTGATGAACTCGTGGAAAACCACCTTGTCTGTGGATGACTACTTCAAGTACCTCACCAACCATGAAACAGATTTCCTTCACGTCATCTTTCAAATGCATGAAGAAGAGGTTCCTGTGGAGATTGTGGCTCCTGTCAGAGAGTCCCTAGAGATTCAGCACCCTCCCCCATTGCTAGAAGATGAAGAACCAGACTTTGTGCCAGGAGAGTGGGATTGGAACACCGTGCTAGAGCACAGGCTAGGAGCTGGGAAGACCACCCACCTGGGAGAATCTCACAAAATCCTGAGCCTGCAGAAGCGTCTGGAACAACTGTGGTCTGTGCTTGAGGTCCCCGACAAGGACCAGGTGGACATGGTCATTAAATACAGTTCCAAAGCCCGCCTGAGACAGCTGCCTTCATTGGTGAATGCCTGGGAGCGAGCCCTGAAGCCCATCCGGCTGCGGGAGGCGTTGCTGGCGAGACTAGAGTGGTTTGAGGGACAAGCTTCCAACCCCAACCGCTTCTTCAAAAAGACCAACTTGAGCTCCAGTCACTTCCTGGAGGAGGATCAGATCCGAAGCCATCTCCACAGGAAGCTCAACTTAATGGAGTCTTCTTTGGCTTCTCTCCTGGAGGAGATTGAGTTAATCTTTGGCGAGCCAGTGATCTTCAAGGGGCGGCGCTACCTGGACAAGATGAAGAGTGACAAAGTGGAGATGCTCTATTGGCTGCAACAGCAGCGGCGGGTTCGCCACCTGGTCTCGGCCCTGAAGGGTCCCCATCAGTCAGCCAGCCTTTAGTAGCTCCTGGGAATACCCCTATTACGCTTTGACCAGGCCCAGTGCCCTCAAATGCCTCCCTCACCCCCAAATGGCCAGCAGCTCATCTAGACCTCTTTACTGCTTTGGAAGAAGAAATATTTGTCTATCTCTGGGAGCAGAGGGGGTTCAGGAACATTATGCTTCCAACTATGAAGGGATTGAGACTAAAACTATTGTTTTCTTAGTGAAATTCTCATAAAAGTATCCCCAAGCCTAGTAGTCCCATTATGTCAAGCCTTGCACAATACAACCCAAATCTCCTAGATCAAAAGAACTGAGACCTTGGAGTTCATTGTAGTGGGAAAGGTCAGACAGAGGCAAAGTTGATCTTTGGAACAACTCACTTTAGCATTCCTATCACACTACATTAAATTGTCACCTCTTTTAGTTCTCAAACACTATTAGGAAGACTAAAATTAATTAAATTTTTACCAATTACATGCACATGGTACAAAATATACCAGGATGTGTACTGAAAAGTAAGCCTTCCCATACCCACCTCCAATATCTCAGTTTCCTGCCGTGGGGACAAGTGTTAACAATTTTTTAATTTTTTAATTTTTTAATTTTTTTTTTTTTTGAGACAGAGTGTCACTCTGTTGCCCAGGCTGGAGTGCAGTGGTATGATCTTGGCTCACTGCAACCTCTGCCTCTCTGGTTCAAGCGGTTCTCCTGCCTCAGCCTCCTGAGTAGCTGGGACTACAGCCACCTGCCACCACACCTGGCTCTTTTTTGTATTTTTAGTAGAGAGGGGGTTTCACCATGTTGGCCAGGCTGGCCTCAAACTCCTGAGCTCAGGCGATCCACCTGCTTCAGCCTCCCAAAGTGCTGGGATTACAGGAGTGAGCCACAGCACCTGGATTTTTTTTTTTTTTTTTTTAATTTTAGAGATGGGGTCTTGCTCTGTTGCCCAAGCTGGAGTGCAGTGGCCTGATCATAGCTCACTGCAGCTTGAACTCTTGGGCTCAAGCAATCCTCCTACCTCAGCCTCCTGAGTAGCTGGGACTACAGCTGCTTACTACCCCACCTGGCTAATTTTTTGAGTTTCTTAAAAAATATGTAGATATTTTTGAGCTAGAGTCTTGCTCTGTTGCACAGGCTGGAGTGCAACCTTGGGTGGGAGATTTCATTTCCTTTTCATTCATTCATTCATCCATCATATATTTGATGTACATTGTCTGTGGGTGTGGTACTGTGCTAGACACTGAAGAAGAAGCAATCAGGAAATTAGGAGTAGATTCAGACAGAGCCAATAAACACATACAGTGGAAATAATGGGGGAAAGAGGCATGGGGAGGCCTGTGGATCACCCATGACCTGCACCTTCAGAGACATTCCCTTCCTCCCATGAGATTCTCGGCTAAGTATAGATTCTACCTGAGCCTACCCAAGCCCTGTGATCTGGGCTTTGTGTTTCTCACCTCATTATAGTTTTATCCTATACCTACAAGACATCATGATGCTCACTTTACAGGTGAGAAATGCTCAGAGAAGCAGGGTAATTTACTCAAAATCTTTTAGAGACCAGGTGCCTTTCTGTCATCCAGGCTGGAGTGCAGTGGTGCAATCATGACTCTCTCTAGCCTGGAACTCTTAAGCTCAAGCCATCCTCCCACTTTAGCCTCCCAAAGTGCTGAGATTACAGGTGTGAGCCACCACATCTGGCCTGCTCAGGTCTTACAGTTAATAAGTGGTAGATCAAAATGTAAGACTTGTGCTTCTGTGGACACCATCAAGCAAGTGAAAGACACAGAATGGAAGAAAATATCTGTGATCATAAACCTGATAAGGAGATCACATCTAGAATATATAAATCTTAACAATTAAGAAAGGCAAATAACTCAATTTTTACATTGGTGAAGGATTTGAATAGATGTTTCTCCAAAGAAGATATGCAAATGGCCAGTAAACACATAAAAAGATGCTCAATATCGTATTTACTAAAGGCATGCAAATCAAAACCACAGTAAGATACCACTGCACACACACTAGGATAGCAATAGTAATAATAAAAAGGACAACATGGAGGCCGGGTGCGGTGGCTCACGGCTGTAATCCCAGCCCTTTGGGAGACTGAGGCTGGCAGATCACCTGAGGTCAGGAGTTTGAGACCAGCCTGGTCCACATGGTGAAACCCCGTCTCTACCAAAAATATACAAATTATCTGGGTCTGGTGGCGCATGCCTGTAGTCCCAGCTACTTAGAAGGCTAAGGCAGGAGGATCCCTTGAACCTGGGAGGCAGGGGTTGCAGTGAGCAGAGATCACACCACTGCACTCCAGCCTGGGCAACAGAGTGAGACTCCATCTCAAAAAAAGCAAAACAAAACAAAAAAACAAACAAAAAAATCATGCTGAATGAAAGAAGCCAGACACAAAAGATCACATACTGGATGATTCCATTTATATGAAATATCCAGAACAGGCAAATTCATCGAAATAAAAATTAGATTAATGGTTACTAGGGGCCGGGCAAGGTTGGGGGAAATGAGTGACCGCTAACGGGTATGGGGTTTATTCTAGGGGTGATGAAAATATTCTAAAATTGATTGTGGTGGCCAGGCACAGTGGCTCACGCCTATAATCCTACCACTTTGTGAGGCTGAGGTGAGCGAATCGCTTGAGCTCAGGAGTTGGAGACCAGCCTGGGCA